AAAGCTTGCTGTTGCTTTTCCTTTATGCATGACAATGATTCTATCATGCATCTTATCTCTTAAGAATGTCATTAAAGCATGAATGGCTTTATCTTGACACTTTACTCTCTTTCCTTGTAAATATGTGTGTTTAATGCACTTATGCATATTCCTTATGTGCATATTTGTATTTAGGCCACAATGTTGTCTGTAGCAATAAGCCCAATATTTTTCAGCTTTTTTTCTTAGTTATTTTTAGTTTTAAATTAAGGTTGCTTACCAGTAAGTTGTGATCAGAGCCACAATCTGTGCCAGGATAAGTTTTGGTTTTAGTGATCATAGTCTTGAATCTTTGATTGGTCATGATATAGTCTATTTGATTTCTGATTGTGTTTTTTAGAGTTATCACTAGGGCTTTCCACGTATATAGTCTTCTTTTTGGTTGATCACACCAGGTATTTGCTATTGTTAAGTTGTATTTACTACAGAATTCCACTAGTCTGTCTCCTCTTTCATTCTTTTCTCCTAGACCAAATGGCCCTACAATCTCCAACTCTCTACCCTTGCTGACTTTTGCATTTAAATCTCCCTATAATGGTAATTTCTTGTGATTTAGTGGTTTCCAGTGCATTTTCCAATTCTTTGTAAAATTTTAATGATACATTATATAAAATTAGTCAAAACATTCTGTAGAATAATAAAGGTTTTAAAGAACTTTCAGTATTATATATCAATAATAGAGAGTAAAAAAATAAAAAGTTGTATATANTGATTTAGTGGTTTCCAGTGCATTTTCCAATTCTTTGTAAAATTTTAATGATACATTATATAAAATTAGTCAAAACATTCTGTAGAATAATAAAGGTTTTAAAGAACTTTCAGTATTATATATCAATAATAGAGAGTAATCTTTATTAGTCAAAACATTCTGTAGAATAATAAAGGTTTTAAAGAACTTTCAGTATTATATATCAATAATAGAGAGTAAAAAAATAAAAAGTTGTATATATTTTGAAGTTCAATCGTCATCTTTTGGCTTGCACTATTGCTTTAAATTATCCTGGATATATAAAAATTATTTTAAGGTTAATTTTTTACATACCTATTTATATCATTTTTATAAGTATCCTTAAACTTCATCGAAGTTTAAGGATAAAGGGACAGTGTTCTATAGACATTGTATAGCAGCATTCATAAAACATGTGTTCCATAAATTTTGAAGCCTGGTAACAGCTCTACCTGAACTCATTTATATACTTTAATAATTATAAATAATCACTAAAATGCATAAAAAAACAACATGTACTGGTACATACTATTAAAATAATATAAAACAAAAAACATTTCTTAAGAAATAAATTTTGAACAAATTTCTTGAAAATTATTTGCTGAATTTTCTAGAAATTTGACAAATAAATGATGTATCAAATATGAGAAAATATTAGTGATGCAACAAATAGTATATTCGGCCAAACTATTCAGTTTGATTAATGCACGTACGAAAATTTGCGCGCAAATTGCGTTATGGCAAGGATCGCGCATCCTGATCTCTATTGGCCCACTGTCACTTCGCTTCTCCAGTCACGTTAATTCTTGAGAGTTGTAGCAGACAGACATGAGCGTCTTGGCAGTATGTGATAAGGGATGATATCAAATGTGGATAACAATGAAATGACCTACGTGTGTAAATAATGGAAAAAGAACAGAGAAGGACCGCGATGTGAAAATAAATATGAAATTGAGCTGATAACATAATCGAACAATCGAGGCAGCTTATTGGCGAGAAATTCGTGGCTGTCAATGCCAAATAATTGTTCTCATAGACTTCGGAAAACTAAATGCTTGTAACGAAAGTCACTTAGTGTGCACGGGTGGAAGCCTGGAGCCATTCAGGCTACCAAGCTATCTGGAATCTGTGAAATCATAACTGTGACTTATACCAATGTCATATCTGTCTTTTTTTATGTCCCAAATTGTAAAATGGGAAATTTACGATGGAAAAATGACAAATCAAAAGTATCATTGCATACATATAATACCTATGCACATTATGATGTATGCATAGGCATATGTTCTTTTATATATGAGTATATATAGATGACTAAACTTCATAATAAGTAGGTAGTTTTCATTTGATGTGTTACCTTTTTTTGATCTCTAAAAAAAATAACTTAGTTATATTACTTTTCCTTTAATCTTTTAGATAAATAAGCAAAAAATTACACTTTCTTGAACTTGAAATGTATGTTCAGCATTATTAAAAGTTACCAAAGTGATTAATTTACTGTGCTTTTGTTATTTCTTACTCCTGTTTTTAGGTATTTGCTATTTGGCCAAATAGTGATTAAATATTTGGTATTCGGCCGAATAGCGAATATTAATCGAATATTCATTGCATCACTAGAAAATATCAAAATACAGTATACAAATTGATTCAGACCACTCATCTAAATTTCTGAAATATCAGAAACAAAATCGAACAGTAAAAAGTATATTACTAAAATGCACATAAAGAAAAAAACAAATATTTTTCTTCTAACAGGGATCAGAAATATTTACTACTACTCCTAAAGATTAACTTCAGAATTTTAAATAGAAACAAAAATCTTCATTTAAATTTTGAATTTACTAACTCGCTATTCTATCAAAAGGAGCAACAAAAATTTTTGATGTTTTTATGGATTCTTTACTGTATTCTAACAACAAACACAATTTGCTGTTTGCATTAACCTTCAATACTTTTGAAGTTATTAGATCTAGATGAGTTTTTTCTTATATACCCATGTGTTGTTGACACATGAAAACCTTGTAAGGACCACTACAAGTCAAACAAGTTTTGTGTCAAACGTGTACAGGTTTTTGGCGTATTCATGTTCTGCAAAATTCTTAGAAACATTTGACCAACAGAAATGTTTGTAATCTTACTTATAAGGCATATATAGTTAAGCAGTCCATATTGCTGAGTAAACTTCAAATGACCAAATCTTTTACTTTTTGTTTTTGAGTTTCGTAGTAGCAAATCTAGTAATTACATGTTTACAATTTATAATGAATCTTCACTTGGGAAAATCTTGTGCTACTGTATACAATATTAATTGTTTTTATTGCTCTTGTAAAATTTTATTTCTGGTTCTGATGGATTTTTCATGTCAACAATATGTAATTTGTGTGATCACTTTTCTAATAAAATATGAATAAGCTTAGTTCTATTTTCTGTGTCTAATATTTTTAAAAAAGATCATGCTAATTACATAATTATTTGCACATTAATAAAAGGCTATTTACACTTTTTGATACATTTAATAAAATTTTTGGCTGTCATATATTATCAAAGTGGTATCAAAAATTTTCCAGACTATGCCTTTAAACAGTTACATGTTTATCATCATCAAATCTGGCCACTGTCTCCTTTGTAGTCATCCCTTTAGGAGCATATACAATGATTCCAGTGCCTCTTTCATGACTCAAAGATAACAAGGAGTCAGCTTTGAAAAAGCATGCCAATACTGCTGGTGATTCTGTTTAGATTTGTTGATGCCTTTTTAGTCTTAATTTAATTTTGGGGAATAAAGCAAAGTCAGGAGAATATAAAGGATTTTGGACAACCATCTTGTTTTCTTCCAAAAACTGTGTCATCTTCAACGAGATATGGATGAGCACATTGTCAAGATGCAAAAGCCAATGGTCGTTGCACCACAGTTTCAGTCTCTTTCTTTCACATCATCTCTCAAGCATCTCAAACATCACAGTAAGATTAGAATTGACCATTACACTAAGAGTCCATCAGGTCGGCAATCAGCCTACCCCTCCTGTCCTGATTATGGTACCAGATCACCGATTTGGCACGAAGGTTCACCTAGAATAATGATGTTATTACTTTTTATTTTCTCGATGACATTCGCTAGCTCGTTTACACAGCTTTCATCGTTTTCGTCTGGTGTGAAATAGGCACTTATTATGTATATAGGACTTGGCTGTTGCATGATTGCTACACAAACCCTTTCCAAGCAGAGATGTGGAATTAGTGCAATATCCAGGTTGGGGTTGCAGACAATTATGCTGCATTTGGGTCTAGAGGAAGTGTGGCCCATGAGGACTTGCCAGTTACCAAAATGAACGATCCTGTTGTCAATCGTGTATGGCTCCTGTATAGTTGTTATGTCGCTTTCTGTATCACTCGCTGTCTTAATCAGTAGTGAACAAGCTGCTTTACTTTTTTGGACGTTTAATTGGAGGATTTTGATGGTGGTCCTTTGGCTGCTGTTACATGTCATTTCATTGTTAGACTGTTTGCTGTTTGTATGAGTATTCCGAGTCGTGTTTACTTGGAGGTTACCAGCCATAATTAGTGCGGTTTATCATCTGTTGCTTTCTTTTTTGTAGGATTGGGCAATTTGTGCTGAAGACATTGTGGTGTTCAGAGTGTTTCTTTCCTTCTGGGAGGCTCTCGTTGGCTTGTTTACAGTATGCAAGTCACCGACTTATGACGGCAATCACACTCTTTGTATGGGTGCTTTTTGGTGCAGTGGCTGCATTGCTGGTTGGCGGGCAGTCACGTGCAAAATGGTCAAATCTGCAGCATTGATAACAGCGGACTACTGGGATGAAGTCATCGACATAAATAGTAGAGCATGACAGTCATTCAGTATTATTTATTCGTACAAAGAGTACATTCCCTGTCCCCGCATAAAGCATTACCAGGGAACGAGAATACAGAGTACAATGAGAACACCAAATAAAAATGGTTACAATCAAATACAATTATTACACAAAACAAAATATTTAGCGATACAGAAATGATTGNGCAGGCCAGTCCATTCACTGAATATCATCTTGCTCCAAGAGCTCCTCCACCTGTGCTGTTCGACATGGTTGAGCATTGTCATCCATAAAAATGATCATGACACCGCTGGTAGGCCTTGCGCAGCCTCCTAGTATCGCGATGTAGCATGTCTAGTTCTGTTGTCCACCATGGGACACTTCTCCTGCATAGTACAAAGAGTACATTCCCTGTCCCCGCATAAAGCATTACCAGGGAACGAGAATACAGAGTACAATGAGAACACCAAATAAAAATGGTTACAATCAAATACAATTATTACACAAAACAAAATATTTAGCGATACAGAAATGATTGAGGGTTATAAGACAATAATATAGCAAACATGAAGATAACTAAAATAAAATATGAAAAAACAGAATAATTAAACTAAAATAGGAATAAATAAAATATACAAATATAGAAATATTTACAAAGTAAAGAGGCCCTACAGGGCTGCGCGAGTTAACATTATATAGCGACAGATGCATCACGTGTAGAAGGAACAAGTGGCTGTGAGAAAGTCCATGATGTTAATGAAAAATGGTGGCTTCGTTGATGGAAATGACGCTTTTTGCGAGTTGCTTGAAGGCATAGTAGATGTCTTTGTTGTGTCAGATGTCTGAGAGACTACAAGGCCAGCCAACACCAGAATCCTTAAGCAGTTCAAGCTCTAAACGTTCACGTTCGAAAGCAATACAGATAAACAGGTAGCGCTCGGAACCGTCATCGATATTGCAGGCAGGGCAAAGCCCATTGTCCCTCTGAGCAAAGCATGCCAGATAGCTGGCGAACTAGCCGTGGTTTGTGAGCGTTTGGGAAATATAGTAATTAGGATAATACCAGTCCTTACAGAAAAAATCGTGCAGGTTGGGTATATACCTGTATGTGATATGGTGGTTATGATTGTTCCAGGCAGATTGCCAGATGGAGAGGGACTCCTTCCAAAGAATGTGCCGTAGAGTCCTCTGGCTAATCTTGGCATATGCAATGGGTTTCGCAGCGTCCATATTAGCTTGTTTGGCTAAGCTGTTGGTCCTCTCGTTGCCCACCACACTCCCCTTGATGTGAGTTCCTGTCCGTGGTGAGGGGACTCCCAGAGATGGTTTAGTAACTTCTCTTTACCATCCCTGGGATCTGAACGCCCACCCATGTGTTTGCTGTGCGTGGTCCCGTATGCCGGAAAGGGGGATCCTGGTAGTTGAGGGGCAACTTAACGTCCCCAACACACTGCTTTGGCCCCTGCTTTGAATAAACGGGAGGCCCAAATCAGGCTCCGTTTGAGTCAGTTGGCTGGTCGTTGAGTCATTTGACCTCGGCCTGGAGTCAACTGATTGATGCAGACCGGGCGGACATGTCAGACAAGATGTGCTCTTCTCAACTGTATTGTGATGGTATAGCTCCTGGGAAACCCTGGTGTGACAGTCTATGGGAGTCCCCTATGTGACGGCATCCCCTTGTTGGGCCCCATGGTGGGTGGGGTCACTAGGAGCCGAATAATTAAATATTAATCATGGACCCAAAAAATTCAAAACATTTTGAGAAAGCGACAATATCGACGACAAAAGAAAAGACCTCCAGCCAACCTGCTTACTTAATAGTGCACGCAACTGGAGAAAAACCTTTTGCTAAGTGTTCTCCTTTTTTGATTCAAAAGCTTTTTGAATCAACCATTGGGCATTTAAAAAAAATCCAAAAATTGAGGTCAGGGGACCTACTAGTGCAAACAGCCTCTCCTCAACAAACAACAAAGCTTTCAACTATGAAAACTCTTGGAGACATGGGAATATTAGTCACACCACACAGAAGTTTGAACTCATCACGTGGTGTGATATCTGAGTTTGATTTGATGTCTGAAGACGAATCAGACATTCAGATTGGCCTGTTGGACCAAGGTGTCACTTCTGTCCGACGCATTTTGATTCGTCGAGACGGTAAGTCGATACCCACAAAACATCTAATTCTCACGTTCGACAATCCAACATTGCCATCCTTTGTTACGGCAGGATATCTGCGCTGCCCTGTCCATCCATACGTTCCAAATTCGCTGCATTGCTTCAAATGCCAGCGATTTGGACATTCTCAGACTTCCTGCCGAGGCAAAAGCTTATGTGCACAGTGTGGTACTGAAGGTCACAACAGTACTGAATGTAAAAGTACACCACACTGTGTGAACTGTAAAGATGCCCATCCTGCCTATTCCAGGAAATGCCCTGCATGGCAAAGAGAAAAGGAGATTCAACGGGTGAAAACTGTAAAAAATGTATCATACCCAGAGGCCTGTCGCATGGTCACTCCAAGTGCACCATTGTAGCAGAAGACATTTGCTAGTGTGTTGAAATCCACTAAGACATGTGGGATTCAAACAGATATTTCTGTATCCCTAAGTGAATCTCTTACTCGCCATGCAAAATGCTTATTGATCCCATCTGCACAATCAGAAGAAAAGGAGAACACAAAGACTAAAACCTCTGTAACTAAAACGGGAGTAACAACCAGAAATGTGGGTTATAAAAAAGCCAGTAAGAACCCACTTAACAAACAAAGAGTGAAAGCAGCCCTCTCTAAAGTCTCAAAAAAATCAGAAGCACAATCTATGAGCGAGTTTTCTGACATATCTGATGAAGAGCCTTACATGGAGGTTTCAAAACCAAAGTCACTTCCAAAAGAAAAACCGCCTGTTAAATTAAAGAGGGATACCCACGCAAAGAATGCTGCCTCAAACACATAATGGGTTATAAAATAATTTAATGGAACTATCGTGGTTTCTGCAACAACTTCTCTGACATTAAACACTTGACATCATCTACCTCATCTCTCTGTGTGGCACTCCAGGAAACCCATCTAAAACCTGGAGAAAATATTTCTCTCAAAGGTTTCAATCTTTACCGCAAGGATGATGATAGCCACAACCGAGCCAGTGGCGGTGTGGCTATTTTGGTTTCCAATCGAATCCCATCTTTGCTGGTACAAATAACCACTGATTTACAAGCTGTGGCAGTCAGAATTTCTATTGGAGTAACTGTCACAGTTTGCTGTATATACTTGCCACCAGATGTCAGAGTCAAGGAAGATGAATTGGATGCCTTAGTTGAACAGCTGTCAACACCATTCCTTCTACTGGGTGATTTCAATGGCCACAATCCTATGTGGGGTAGTCCCGACATTAATTGTCGAGGCAGAGCCATTGAATGACTCATAGGCAATCAGCAAATGTATTTATTTAATACTGGAGATGTGACATACTTCCATGCCCCAACAAGAACTTTCACTGCCATTGATCTCTCATTAGCCACTCCGAACCTACTTTCAGCATTTACATGGGAGGTTGGATCAAATCCACTTTCCAGTGACCACTTCCCAATTTTTCTAAAATGTCGAGGCAGAGATAGCTGTGAAACAGCCCGTCCACCACGCTGGAAATTGGAAACAGCCAATTGACTTGTTTTTTCCTCTATGGCCAACATCACGGAGGATATGGTGAATATTGCTGATATCAATGACGCAGTTGAAGTTGTCACTTCCAGTATTATCCGTGCAGCTGAAAAAACAATGGGAAAGACATCAACTAGATATCCAAAACATTTTAAACCATGGTGGAATCAGAATTGTGAGGCAGCATTTAAAGCCCAAAAGAAAGCATGGGGTATTTTCAGAAGATACCCCACTGCGAGAAATTTGGTTGCTTTTAAAAAAGCAAAGGCAAATGCCAGAAGAATTAGAAGGCAAAGCCAAAGGGATGCTTGGAGGAAGTATGTCTCTAGTATAACATCTTCTACTAGCTCAAAAGCAGTAATGTTTACTAAGAATTTCCAAGCTTATAAAGCTCAAAGTGAAAAACAATATTTAAACTTTCACCCCTCATGAAAGTGGATGAAACAGAATGGAATCACGTTAGTTAGGGCTGATAAGTCCAAGGCTATGGTCCTCATGAAGCGCAATACATATGACCAATTGTTGTCGGAGCACATTAAGAGTACCAGATGTGACATTGTGCAAAGGGATACGGTGGACAAACTACAGGCTAGAGTTAAGCGCTTCGCTAACACTAAACTGGCTAAGAGACTAGAAATGAGGAATATTATAGTCGATGCGCCTAATACACCGAAGTTGTTTGCCTTCGCAAAAATCCACAAAGTAGGACAGCAACTACGTCCTGTTATTGATAAGGCCAGGGCGCCAACACATAAGATGAAGTTCGTCCACAAGCTGATCACGCCCTACTTGGAGGATTATTTGTACATGCTGAGTGACCCTGTAGACCTTATAGAGACCCTAAAGAAGATCACCGTAACACCTAAGTTTCTCACAGTATTGGATTTCAAGTCGCTGTTTCCATCAATCCTTCTCTCGCCTGCCTTTTGCGCCATCAGAGATGTACTACTATCTATCATCAACGATAATACGGTACACCAGCAAATTCTGGAGATGGCCCATCTATTGTGTTACAATTCATTCTTCCAATTCAAAGGTAGCGTGTACACGCAAGGAAGAGGAGTCCCTATGGGTTGTCCGATCTCTGGGAACTTATGCGAGATGGTGGTTTGACTACTCGAAGCTAAGGTCCTTCCACACCACCTTCACAACATCATTTTATATAAGAGATATGTTGACGATATTATCATATTATGGAAAGAAATACCGGACATAAAGGCGTTCGTCGACACAATGAATAATAACACATATGGATTAACCTTAGAAATAGAACAAGCGCACCAGACGAATATACACTTCCTGGATATTGATATCAAGGTAGAAGAGTCGGTAATTCACACGGCAGTATACCATAAGTTAGGAACAAAAGGCATATACATACCAGTAGGGTCATGTGACCCACCGCAATATAAAGTGGCACCATTTAAAGCCCTAATTAAGAGAGCACACACACACTCTTCTACCGAGCCAGCCCTACAATCAGAGCTAAGATCTATACAACGAATAGCCGCTGAACACGGATACAGCAAACTCGTACGCAAGTTATGGCATGAGTATCAAAACACAACTCAAGACCTTCCGCTAAGAGAAGAACGACAAGATATGGATAAGATCATTCCGGTCAATTATAATCCGTATATTAGAAGACTATATGGAGAAATAGCTAAAAAGAACCACATACGTATAGCCTACAGAAGGTGCGCTTCGATCTTCAACATCCTAACCAACGGAAAAGATCAACCGGACAAGGATAAGCTGTCAGGGGTCTACAGCATACCGATTATAGATCGCAGATGTGATAAAAACCTTCTGTATGTGGGCTCCACCAAGCGATCCTTAGAGGTTAGACTCAAAGAACACGCTGCTGATATTCAGAAACAAAGGAACACGACGGCCCTAGCAGTATATGCTTCCGATCCAGATATATACCCTGAATTTAAGAAAGCAAGAATTATCCGCACGGCACGTACACTATATCAGATGGCTAGAGGCGGCCAGCATATACTTAGCTAACCTTAAGGATAATCAATGCATCAATTATAAAGAAGAGATTACGTTATCAACAGCCTGGCTAGCGTTTATGAATAGTAATTTATGATAACCCGTTTTGGAGTCGACTGCGCATGACATACAATGACGGAAACGGGAAACGTGCATTCGAACTTACATATTTCGAATTTAAAGTTTTTACGAGCTGCATTTTCCATCAGAGATTCGAAAAAACCTGAAGAAGAACCGTTATAAGGGTTCGAAAACGTTAGTTTTGGTTCGTTTTGGATCGTTAAGAGTTAGTAGACGCACCAGTAACAGGTTAGAAAGAGGTAATTATATTTAGAGATGACTTGTATTTAGCTGGAAGAAGGCCCACGAGCCATTTGAGGTGGTGGCTAGCTTCCTGTAATATGCTGTCCTCCAGCAATTGGATAGCCACAGTTGGGTTGTCCTGGAGTTTCGACTCCTGGGATAATTCAGGTTGTTTCATGATGGAATCAATCCGAATACCAGATACAATACAGTAACAAACAATATTAAGACTAAAATAAAATGTAAAATAGGAAACCGAAAGCGAATACTGAGTGACGATTAATCACGGAAGTTAGAAATTAGAAAATTTAAAAAGGTACTAATGCTATAATTTTAGAAATAATAAACACCAGATGAAAGGCGAATTAAAGCCGATTTGAACGGTATACAACACTGAAAGATGCGGCAAACGAGACCTGAGAAATCGGTCAAGAAAGCCGTCAAATTAGGGTCAGATAGGGGATTGACCTGGCCATGTGCTAGGGTCAATGACCTTTGGCTTCTTTGTTTAAACACTATTTTATATTGGTCATTACTCTTAAACTACTACAAATATCGAGACCAAATTTGCAGGGCAAATAGGCAGCTAAATGAGGAAAGAAATACCCGAAAATGGCTGACACCGGTGGCCCAATAAACCCGCACGACGACCCCTCGATGTTGGTTCCTGTCCGTGGTGAGGGGACCTCCCAGAGATGGTTTAGTAACTCTTCTTTACCATCCCTGGGATCTGAATGCCCACCCATGTGTTTGCCATGCGTGGTGTCTCGTATGCTGGAAAGGGGGATTCTGGTAGTTGAGGGGCAACATAACGTCCCCAACACACTGCTTTGGCCCCTGCTTCGGATAAACGGGAGGCTCAAATCAGGCTCCGTTTGAGTCAATCGGCTGGTCGTTGAGTCATTCTTGACCTCGGCTTGGAGTCAACCGATCGATGCAGACCGGGCGGACATGTCAGTCTAGATGTGCTCTTCTTGACTGCATTGTGAGGGTATAGCTCCTGGGAAACCCTGGTGTGACGGTCTATGGAAGTACTCCATGTGACGGCATCCCCTTGTTGGGCCCCATGGTGGGTGGGGTCACTAGGAGCTGAATTTTTTCTGTAATTATGGATTCAAAAAATTCAAAAAGTTCTTGTGCACCAACAACAAAAACAAACGAAAAAATCTCCACTAATCCAGCGTACTTAGTAGTGCACGCAACCGGAAAAAAACCCTTGGCTAAAGCTTCTTCTTTCTTGATTCAAAAATTGTTTGAATCAACCATTGGACAGTTTAAAAAAATACAAAAATTAAGATCTGGAGATTTACTGGTGGAAACAGCTTCCCCACAACAATCGGCAAAACTTATGGAAACAAAGACCCTAGGAGAAATGGAAGTCACTGTCACCCCACATGCGAGCCTAAACTCATCACATGGAGTAATATCTGAAGATGAATCAGATATTCAGATTGGCCTTTCAGATCAAGGCGTCACTGCTGTCCAACGTATCTCCATTTGTTGGGATAGCAAGTTAATACCAAACAAACATTTAATTCTCACTTTTAACAAGCCGACATTGCCATCTTTTATTACAGCAGGTTATCTGCGCTGCCCAGTTCGTCCTTATGTTCCAAATCCGCTGCGTTGCTTTAAATGCCAGCGATTTGGACATTCACAAACATCGTGTCGAGGGAAAAGCATATGCGCACAGTGTGGAACTGAAGGTCACGACAGTACTGAGTGTACCACTACTCCATGCTGTGTGAATTGCAAAGATGCCCATCCCGCCTACTCTCAAAAATGCCTAGCATGGCAGAGAGAGAAAGAGATCTAGCGAGTAAAATCCATTAACAACATACCATATCCGGAGGCTCGGCGCATGGTCACTCAGAGCACAGCAGTGAAACAGAAAACATTTGCTTCCGTGTTGAAATCCACAAAGACATGTGGGGTTCAAGCTGATATCTCTGTCTCCCCAAGCGAATCTCTTACTCGCCATTCGAAATGCTTAATACTCCCGTCTACGCAAACACCAGAAAAGGAGATCACAAAATGAAAAACACCCCTGCCTAAAACAGGTGTAATTACAAGAAATCTGGGTTCTAAAAAGGCTAGTAAGAACCCACTAAACAAACAGAGAGTGAAAGCAGCTCTCTCTAAATCTAAAAAGTCAGAGGCTCAGTCCATGAGTGAGTTCTCTGATATCTCTGATGAAGAGACTAACATGGAGGTGACCCAACCAACGTCTCTTCTAAAAGGAAAATCATCAGTTAAACTGAAGAGGGACACTTTTTCTAAGAATGCTGCCTTAAACACATAATGGATTATAAAATAATCCAATGGAACCGTCGTGGTTTCCGCAACAACTTCTCTGACATTAAACATTTGACATCAAACATTTGACATCATCTACCTGATCTCTCTGCGTGGCACTCCAAGAGACACATCTGAAACCTGGAGAGGGAATTACTTTAAAAGGATTTGGAATTTACCGCAAGGATGATGATAGCCACAACCGTGCCAGTGGCGGTGTGGCTATTTTAATTTCCAATCATATCTCATCTTTGCCGGTACAAATAACAACAGACCTGCAAGCTGTGGCAGTCAGAATTTTTATTGGAGTAACTGTCACAGTTTGCTCTATATACTTGCCACCAGATATCAGAGTCAACGAAGATGAACTGGATGCATTAGTTGAACAGCTGCCAACACCATTCCTTTTACTTGGTGATTTCAATGGCCACAATCCTATGTGGGGCAGTCCCGACATTAATCGTCAAGGAAGAGCCATTGAACGACTCATAGGTAATCAGCAAATGTATTTATTTAATACTGGAGAAGTGACATACTTCCATGCCCCATCAAGAACGTTCACTGCCATTGATCTATCATTAGCAACTCCGAATCTGTTTTCAGCATTTACATGGGAGGTTGGATCTAATCCACTCTCTAGTGACCACTTCCCAATATTTCTAAAATATCGAGGCAGAGAAAGCTGTGAAACAGCCCGTCCACCACGCTGGAAACTGGAAACGGCAGATTGGCCTGCATTTTCCTCTTTGGCTAACATCACTGAGGAAATGGTCAATACTGCTGATATCAATGACGCAGTTGAAGTTGTCACTTCTAGTATTATACAGGCAGCTGAAAAAACAATGGGGAAAACATCAACAAGATATCCAAAGCATCCGAAACCATGGTGGAACCAGAATTGCGAGGCAGCATTTAAAGCACAAAAGAAAGCATGGGGGATTTTCAGAAGATACCCCACTGCTAGAAATTTGATTGCTTTTAAAAAAGCAAAGGCAAATGCCAGAAGAATAAGAAGGCAAAGCCAAAGGGATTCTTGGAGGAAGTATGTTTCTAGCATAACATCTTCTACTAGCTCAAAAGCAGTCTGGGATAAAATCCATAAAATTAATGGAAAATATGCTTCTCACTCTCTGTCCATGCTGGAAAATAATGGCACAATAATCAGCGATATACAGGATATTGCTGATACGTTGGGTGAAATGTTTTCTTTTTCATCCAGCAATGTAATGTTTAATAGGAATTTTCAAGCTTATAAAGCTCAAAGTGAAAAACAATATTTAAACTTTCATTCCTTATCTAATGAGGAATATAATGTGCCATTCACCAGCACAGAACTACATACTAAGATTTCTCGCTCGGGGATTACTGCTGTAGGCCCGGATAAAATCCACTACAGCATGATTAAAAATCTGTCAAACAACTCCCTTTCTAATCTCTGAATCTGTTTAACAGAATATGGACAGAACATACTTTTCCTGACTCTTGGAGGCTATCTATCATTATTCCCATTCCCAAGCCAGGTAAAGATTTTAAGAATCCCTCTAATTATAGACCAATCTCTCTGACGAGTTGTCTCTGTAAATTTTTCGAGTGAATGGTAAACAGACGTCTAATGTACCTCTTAGAGAAAAAGGAATACTTTTCACCACATCAGAGTGGATTTCGTAGGAACAGAAGTACCACAGACAATTTATTAAAACTAGAAACATCTATACGCGAAGCATTTGTTTGACGACAGCATTTAGTGTCTGTATTCTTTGATATAGAGAATGCTTACGATCGATGCTGGAGATACGGGATACTTCGCGATTTGCATGAATTCGGATTACGAAGTAATATGCCGATTTTTATAAAAAACTTCCTACAGAATCGAAGATTCCAAGTTAGGATGGGCAACACACTATCTAGGCCTTTTATCCAAGAAGGCGGCGTACCTCAAGGTTGTATTTTTTTTTTTTTAACAGATTTAAAAGCCTTTTATTAAAAGATAAAATCAATTTACATTATATATACAGGTGTTTGAAGAACAAAAAATAATAGTTCGATGGTACAGTGGAGAACTTAGCGTGGGAACACGGGCACTAAGCCAGCCAGAAAAATTACAGAGTGTGAGGATGTTGATGTTAAGTTGCCGCGTTATCAAGGGCTCATAGCCTGCCATGAAAGAGTGGTATACATAATGAACCATACCGCGGGTACAAGGGCATTTAGCCAGCTATTACCGAAGGTACATTGTTTAATAATTTTGTCTGTTATGGTTGAGGTTGTTGTTCAGGACTTGGTTTTGCTGTGTGTTACCTCTGAAGCCGCTGAGGTGGGATATGTATATCTCTCGGCTGCATCTGATGGCGTCGCTAACCATGAGCCGTTTCATCATTGCGGCATATTTCCTGGAAATGGCCAGTCTTCTTAGGGTGGCTTTGTTGGCTGGATCATAGCCTCCAAGGGCGCCTATGATGAAGGCAAGTGTGACTCTGTTCCTAATCAAAATTAACAGCATAGCTAACTGTCTTCCTCCCAGTGTGAAACACTCTTTGTATGTGGATGACTTTTCAGATCTCCTGCCAGTCTAGTAACATGAGTTTCATTGAGAGACAACTGCAAACCTCCCTAAATCGCATAGACAATTGTTCCAAGACCAATAGTTTTACTTTTAACACGGAGAAGACCTCGTGCATCCACTTTTGCCAAAGGTGTGGTTTGCACCTGGATCCTGAAATTTATTTAAATGGGGTTAAAATTCCAATTGTGAATGAGGCTAAATTTTTGGGCGTTTTGTTTGACCATAAACTGACATTTTTGCCACATTTGCGCAATTTGAAGAGTAGATGTTTAAAAGCTCTAAACCTTTTAAAGGTCCTATGCTGTTCATCCTGGGGAGCAGACAAATGTTCTATGCTCAGGATTTATAGGGCCCTTGTCCGCTCCAAGCTGGATTACGGGTGCATTGTTTATGGCTCTGCGTGAGAATCTACTCTTCGGATGCTGGATCCAATCCATCATCAAGCTCTGCGTTTCTGCATTGGTGCCTTTCACACCTCTCCTGTACAAAGTCTGTACGTGGATGCTTATGAGCCTCCACTATCACTCAGGATAGAACAGTTGTCTCTCTTTTATTATATTAAGCAGAAATCCCAAACTAAACCTTCAGTTGTTTGTACGGTATCAGATACCCAAATGACAACATCATTTGTAGCTCGCCCAAGCTGTGTCCCTACATTCAATATAAGAATGGAGAATGTAAGCAGCACAATTGACCTGAAAATGGGCAATATTTCACAGCCTGAGGTTGATAGTATACCACCCTGGTCAACTCCTTCAATAAATATTGACTTTAGCTTAAAGCAGTTTCCTAAGGAATCCACTCCAGACTATATCTACATACAGCACTTTGCAGAAGTTCNTTTTAGCCTTTTGTTCGTTCTTGTTTGTTATTAATATGTATATATTTGTTTTTTGTTGCTGTTGCTGTTGTTTATTATTTATTTTTGTCATATGTTTTTTATTTGTGACATTTATAATTATTTACCATTTGTTATGGCGCAGCTTAGCCTATATGGCTCTTGTGCCAAAAAACCATTACCAACCAACCAACCAACCTATTGATCAATATGCCGTATGGCATATCCCGGTGCCACCAAGTATTACCAGGTATATACAGGAAATTACATAGTTTACACTGAAGATTTCGATAACTAATTATTAACGTGTGTACAATTATATATATATATATATATAAGGTTATACACGTGTGCAAAACATTAATAAGTATTAATAAATAAAAAAATGAAAGTAAAATTAAAACATTAATGTTGCTGGAAATGTGACAGTCATAACATCATATAGTTACATGAGGAACATATTTTTTGTTATCTTACGCTACAATTCTGTTTCAGCAGAGGTTTCCTCTTTTCCATTCCCTAAGAAAGACACAGGAGTGTAATCAGTCTAGATAAAAGTTTTTTTTTCCGCTGAAGTGAAACTCCTGCACACTCCAAACCAGGAGACTTATGCAGATCTTATTAGAATATAATCCACTGTCAACAATTTTCCAGAATTAGTTGTCCAACGCCTTTGCTCTTCCTTATAAATCTTGCTGCTAGCATAGCTCCAGGTACAGGGTGGACCAAAAAAAATATACGTATTTCAAACTGATATATTTAATAAACTGTAAGACATACAACTATGGAACTTGGGACACATATTTATGAAACTCTCTAGTTTAGATTACAGGTGTTCCACCAGTCCTCCACCAGCGACAAGAACAATATCACACCGATACTCAAATTCCTGCCATACTCGACTAAGTATGGCAGGAATTTGAAAAGGAACCGGTGTCACTGATGTAATGGCAGTACGGATCCGGTTCTTCAACTCATCGAGGTTCTGTGGTAGTGGAGGAACGTAGACAGTGTCCTTGATGAAACCCCACAGGAAGAAATCACACGGCGTCAAATTTGATGACCGTGGAGGCCAGCTGAAAAGTGCTAAATCGTCAGCTCCTTGACGTCCAATCCAACGGTTAGGAAGAGTTTCATTCAGAAACTGACGAACTTGATGACTCCCGTGAGGGGGTGCCCCGTCTTGTTGAAAAATGAGGTTGTCCTTGTTCAGCCTCAGAAACAACCAGTTTTGCAACATATGAAGATACTGCGGACCGTTAACCGTGTTTCCATCAGAGAAAAAAGGGCCGTAAACAGATGAGCAGGATATAGCACAAAACACATTCACTTTAGGTGAATCTCGAAAATGTTCGTTTTGCGCATGTGGGTTCTGTAGGCCCCAAATTCTAACATTCTGTTTGTTCACCTTCCCACTAAGGTGAAAACATGCTTCATCACTGAACACGATCCGTTCTGAGAAATTGTTATCGTTGTCAATAACATCCTGAATCTGGCCACTAAATTCCACACGTTTATGTTTGTCATCATTATTCAGAGCCTGTAACAGCTGTAACTTGTACGGCTTCATAACTAACCTGCGTCTCAAAACACGCCAAACTGTTGTTTTAGGCAGCTGCAATTCCCGACTGGCACGACGTGTTGATTTTGAAGGGCTACGTTGGTAAGCAGCTTGAATCCGTGCGACATTTTCTTCAGATACACGAGGTCGGCCAGGACTCTTTCCTTTACATACACAACCTGTGTCAACAAACTGACGGTACCATCTGCGAATGTTCCATCCATTCGGAGGATCAATTTCGTACCTCAACCGGAAACGTCTTTGCACTGTAATCACGGAATTACACTTCGCAAGCTCAAGAATACAAAAGCTTTTGTGCTGTGGCGTAGCCATTTTACAACAACTGTGAATACGTCATTGTAACCAAGCACAACTGACATCTGGGGACAAACTAGACAATGCACTCGTTCCTCCGATACCCGCAGCACACCGCTACTATCGATAGTTTA